AGCATACTCTTGATTTACTTTCTGATAATGGTATGCTTGCTTCTCGCCCCGCTTCAACTCTGATTGATTACAACACTCGTCTTCATTATGCTTTGAGTGCATTACTTCCTGATCCATCAGTTTATTGACACTTGATTGGCAGACATATATACTTGACTAATACTCGTCCTGATATTATGTATGTTGTTCAACATTTGAGTCAGTTCATTTCATGCCCTACTTCTGATCATCATCAAACTGCTTTTTGAGTTCTTCGCTATTTGAAAGGTAAGCTTGGGTCAGGTAATTTTCTCGCTATTGACAGTACTCACCAACTAAAGGCTTTGAGTGACTCTAATTGGACTGGTTGCACTGATTATCGTCGCTCTATCACTGGTTCTTCTGTTTATCTTGGTTTTTCTTTAATTTCGTGGTGTTCCAAGAAGCAGTCCACTGTTTCTAAGAGCTCTTCAAAGGCAGAGTACCGTGCATTGGTGTCTACTACTTGTGAACTTTAGTGGCTTAAGTTTCTTCTTGAAGAATTTCGTGTCCCATTTATTCATCCAGATTTGTTGTACTATGATAATCAATTTGCTCTATAGATTGCTTCTAATCAGACTTTTCATGAAAGAACTAAGCATATTAAGATTGACTGTCACATTGTTAGGGACAAGGTTAATGATGATTTGCTCAAGCTTTTGCCTATTTCTTCTTCCCTGCAACTTGCTAATGTTTATACGAAGACATTATCTCTAGTTGTGTTTCAAGCAATTTGTTCCAAGCTAGGAATGCTTAATCTCCTTGAGGGGGGCTCTCAGTCATAGTTTGTTAGTTGGTTAGAGTTTATTTCGTGTTAGTTACTTGTTAGTGATTCTTTGTTATATTTTTTTGTTCATTTCTTGCTTTTCTCATCATGTACATGTTCAACTTTTCATTTGTAATATAGTGAGAAGCCTTTGTTTATCATTTCTTGCTTTTTTGCGTTCTCCTGATTGCACTTCTTTGTTATTCTCTAATAAGATGTGGATGTTTTAGCTAAATTTCACCTCTCGGGGAACGTTGAATTTGAATCATGTTAAAGGTAGATCAATGACAATACTATAATGTTCGTACTGTAGTTACACCATGTTTATGTTCCCATATATATTGCACTTCCAATCATCCTTTTTCCTCCATTTGAAATCAAGAGCATCTCACAACTTTTAGTCCTCTTCTCAATGCACCCTTGTTCACGTTCACGCTTTGGACTTAAAGGTGAAAGATGTTTACAAGCAGGACGATTAGAACCTTGATACATAACATTTTCAGTGCAATTTTATAGCATTATACGTGTCCCTTGTCCTTTTTAATAAGTTGCACAAGTCCTACATTAGAGTTTTATTAAAACGCGTCTTTTATTTTAACATCAGTTTGCCACAAATGGAAATAAAACGCGTATTGAGGCTATTCCCCACAATGATAAATGTTACCTTTCACTTGACGCGGTATTCACAGTGACTTTTGTACACTAAACAAATACACTGTTAGAAGCAAAGTCATCCACCCAACTAAATGCATGTTAGGATATCAAATCAAGTCACAGTTTAAAAATATAATCTAAATTTTAGTTTCAGATAACATGTTTGACAAAATCATAGTTGAGTTATATTTAAATATGCTTCTGGATTTCAAACCATAATTGGACAGTAGTTTACATCACAAACTATAAAACAAGTATTTTCCAATTTTGAAATTCTATTTTATTTTATGTCTACTTGGTATTCCATTGCGGGTATGTTAGTTTCATATCAAACATGTTTAAAATCAATTTTCTTGTATACAAAATGACTAAAATTATGTTTGTAAAACGTTTGACTATTAATATAATTGATTTTAAAAAGTGAAAATTTAATTACTTCCATTTAAAAACAATTATTAACAGTTTCTCTTTCAAATAAAATCAATTTTAAAATTTTAGCTACCCAGATTTATAATTATAAGATCAAAATCAATTTTGGTAACAAGTTTTCAAACAATATTTAATATAAAAATCAAATTCATATCATATGTCGTTCAAACAAAAATCATGTTATTTTTTACTCAGGTTTACATAAAATTAATTTTATAAATTTAGGTTCATTTTAAATCAATTATATTAACATATTTTTAAATACAGTGTATTAAAAAAAATTTAAGTTTCAAAAAATCTCCACATCAAAAATTAAGCTACAAGAAATGACTTTATATTTTTGTCTTATTGGACATGAAATTGGTGTTAAATGTGAATTAAAGACGTGGTTTAAACATGTCCTTACATAAAATATTTTGACATAATTTTGGATGTCCAACAAGAGAAGGTGACAACAACGGATTTATTGAGCAGCAAAAAACTAACTCTCAAGATCTGGAGCTTTAGCAAGTTGAAAGAAAAAGAAACTAGTATATTGGTTTTTTTTAATAATTCTCTATTCTCCCTTTTAGAGGGGAAAAAATTGTCCCCAAGAATAGGAAATAAGAAAAGGGAGAAATAAAAAATATATCAAAGTACAATTAGACATTTATTTTAGATTCCTATAAAATATTTATGGGCCAAATCAGAATTTTAATTAGGATTTTTTTTCTTATTTTTAGGAGTGTAAGCGGGTTAGGTTGGGTTGGGTCGGGTTTAGATAAACTCGTTACTCAACTCGATCAAAATTTAACGGATTGGGTTAAGTTGGATTTGTGCAATTTTTTTTTAAATCCAACTCAACTCAATCACAAACAGGTTGGGTTAGGTTGAATTAATTAGGTCATCATATTAAATTTATTTATTTTTTTGTAAAAATTTAAATATTTTAAAATAGATGTAAATTATTTGATACATTGTTGTAAATACAATGTTATCAACCTATAAAGAAAACAACGATATAAATTAAATTCTAAAATAAATTTATTAATTTGTTACATTATTATCGACTAAAAAAACCAACATTAATTAATACAAAATAAAATTTAGAATACATATATTATATTATTACAATGCTACTAACTTAAAAAATAACACTTGTTACTAAATAAGAGTGATAGTAAGTATTGTCATGAATAAATGATTATTCAAACACTACTACTACTACTACTACTATTATTATTATTATTATTATTATTATTATTATTATTATTATTATTATTATTATATGATCGGGCTAGGTCGGTTAATAGGTTGAAAACACAAAACCTGTTATCTGACCCGTACAATGCTAGGTTTTGGTTGAGTTGGGTTGGATCCGAACATTGAAAAAATTCAATCTAAACTCATTAGGTTAATTTGAGTCAATTTGAATTCGCAGATTATCCCGACCCACTTATACCCCTACTTACTTTCTCACAATTTAACTATTTTTTTATCATTTAAAAGGATAAAATAAAGTTTTAAACACTCCTTTTATTAATTTTAAAACTTTAAGAAAAAAATTCATTTTATACTTTAAAGTCTTAAATTTAATATGAAAAATTAAAAACAAATTATTGATTGTCGAAAGAGTTACAATGGAAAAAAAATATTACTAAAAGACTTGTCTATAATAAAATAAACTAACACATAAAATGTATTCACATTTTAATAGGGGAGAATGCACAAAAAAAAATGGTGCATAAAAAGGGGAAAGTATAATGTTTTAATAATGACAAAAATATATTTTTCGTCCTTTATATTATTTATTAGTATCAATTTAGTCTCACTTTAATTAATTGAATTAATTTAGTCTAACATCTTTAAAATATATCTCAATGTTTGATTTTTCGTTTCTTCCATTTAAATACTTAACAAATTTGACACGTGTCATGTTGTCATGACATGTAGCATGACAGCATGACACGTGTCATATTCGTTAAGTATTTAAACAAAAGAGACGAAAAATCAAACATTGATATACATTTTAAAGATGTGAGACTAAATTGATTCAATTAATTAAAATAAGACTAAGTTGAATCTAATAAATAATATAAGGGACGAAAAGTATATTTTTACTTTTAATAATTTAACAGGCATATATAGACAATATAAATAAATATATTATCAACTAATAAAGACTCGTCCTTGTTATAACTTTCAAAATCATTATTATAGAGATTATTTTATTGAAGTGGGATTTTTTCCAGTGTATATATTATTTAATACTTATTCATATTTTAAAAAATCATCAATTTCATATTACTCTCTTTCTTAAATGTTTATTTAAAGTGAGAGAATTATATAAATAACTTATCAAACATTAAAAACTATAGTAAAAAATTTTATAAATATTGAAAAATTATTAAATTGATCCTTATTATATTTTTTTATAATTATATTCATCTACTTGTTGATAAATTATTTATGTTCTATAAATATTTATAAAATGTATAAATTTAATAAATAAATTCATATTATTTAATTCTTAAAAATTACACATATAATTTTATTATTTTAAACATAATATAAAAGTGAGGATATAAGTTAAGGACTAAGATTAAATTGATGATTTGTGGACATATCTAACTCAATGAAATTTTTTGACATTAGTGATGCTCTCGCTCATAGATTTCTCATAATCTTTGTCATTAAATAAAATTTTCAATCAAACTAAATATTATTATATTTTCATTAATTATTAAGTAAATAATAATGTTTAGTTTGAGACATATGTCATTAATTTTTAATTTAATAGTCATGAAAGTATTATATTCTTTTTTGTCATTTTATATATTAAAAAGACTATAAATAGATGATTTGTTAAAAAAAATTATAATTTTATAAAATGTAATACATTCGAAAGAGTTAATCACCTATACACTGCTAGTATAAAGTTTTTTTTATACTGATAACTAATTATATCTCTTAATTGTGTTATGTTACTGTAAATATATTTACTTTTACTAGTGACATGGTATAATTAAGATATATAATTAATTGTCAATGTAAAAAAATTTTACTGGTGATTAACACTGTTAAAAATATATCGTTCATAAAAAACAATAAAAAGTTGACATTTAGATTTACACTTGCCAGACTTTCCCATGTTTTCGAATTTCTCCAGAGCCGTGTTTTTGTGCTTCTTCCATTTTCCTTCCTTTCTTTTTCTCACTTCTCTCACTGCTCCTTCTTCATTCTTTCCTTTTCAGTGCCACCCTTTTGTTCTCAATTAAAATTCATTCATCTTAATTCTTCTTCATCTTCAATTAACTTCATACAACAACCAACACTCATTCAACAACGATCTTACCTCTGTCAATGTTCCACAATATCTGAGAGCATTGTTTGAAACGGCTAATTCATCGTCCAAAAAGTGCTGGGGTACCCTCTCTTTCATGGGATTCTTTGTTCTACACTAGGTAAGAACTAAGCAACCTCGTCTTAATTTGTGCTATATACTTAATAATTCTGACCAATTCTTTTGTATAACTCACATTCTTCATCTAATTCTTTTTGTAACTTACTCCATTCAAGTTAACTTTCCTTATTTGGTAACCTAATCTTATTTTTGTTTCAAACATTTTTTTTTAATTAGAAGAAAAATAACCATTTAAAGACAGGCATTGTTGTTAATTACCTAACGCATCAATAAGCTGATTTCAGGATATTTCAACTTAATAAGTGGTCTCAAATTTGAGCTATGAGTATGCAACTGCTTTACATACTTTACCACTCAAAAAGGAAACTTGCTCGCTTAAAGCCTGTTTGATAAAAGCTTAGAAAAGCTTTTAACAACTTCTGTACTATAAAGAGTTTTTTCAGTAAAGAAACTTTTGCATTCAAATAAACTCGTATCTAACTTGATTGCCTCAACTGAAGAATACTTCCTCATGGTTTCTACTTAAAAAACAGGAATAACCATTTAAAGACAGGTATTGTTATTTACCAATCACATGAATATGCTGGTTTGCGAGTATTTCAACTGAATTACTGGTGTCCGGTTTGAGTTATAAGTATGCAACTGTTTTAAAACATTAGCAATTAGTCCCATCTGACTTGATTGCCTCCTCCTAAGAATACTTATGGTTTCAACTGAAAAACAGGTATTTTTATTTTAAAGGAAGGAATATATACTCGAGTAGTACTAAAAAAGTTTCCTTTACGGGGTGTAATTTTTTGGTAATCCTACCTATTCTCTTGTAGTTAATTTTACTTGTTTGGTAACTTCTACCCCTTGTTCCACCTGATTTACATATCATTCATGGATCAGCTGACATGGGATTGATTAACTAGTAAACTTTCATTTATCCATGTACAATAGTTGTCATATACCCAGTCGTATCATAGGGTTACCGTCTGGAAAACCCCCATTTTATGTTAGTTGGTCCACGCACTTTTCATCTTATTCTACCTAAATTTTAATTCTTTGATCTTATTTGAACAGGAATTAGACGCTATAGAATTTAATATGCAGAGAAATTTGCAATTCTGATCAGCCACATTTTACCTCACTTACACTCAGCATCACAACGACCCTGCAACGTTAGGTAATTACCTCATGAGATTGAGGTGTGCTCTCTTTGAGTGCTGCTTCACTAGTCCATCTTCTGACACAATTCCAAAGTGCAGTAAGTTGAAGTGGCGAATCTTCCCCTACAAGGAACTTGCAAAAGCCACAAATAATTTTGATCAATTGCATTGCCTTGGAAAGAGAGGCTCAGCCATTGAATATCACGGTAAGAGACTAGGCTGCAGCCTTTTATATGTGTTTTGAGCACTGTTCTTTAATTAAAATTAGAATTTTACCGTAGTAATTCACGCAATAAAGACTAAGATTTCAATTTGCATTAAATACCTGAGTAAAACTATAATTTTGATTAGCATGAAAAACAATTATAGGAGTAAAAGGTCTATACCTCATGCTTTTGCATAGAATATTTTCTTCTGATTGTTTACCTTGTTTTAGGAAAACTTGATGATGGACGTGAGATTATAGTCCAACGCTTCAAAGAAGACAAGCGCTACACATTACAACAGTTTGTCAATGAAACTGTTATCCTAAATTACTTGCCTCACAAAAATATTGTGTCAATTTATGGGTGTACTTCTCATCACGAGGAATCTCTGCTGGTGCATGAATACCTAGTCAATGGCAACCTTGCTGCTCATCTACAAAGTGAAAGGGCTGTAAACAATACACTAACTTGGCTTACACGATTGGATATAGCCATTGATATTGCAAATGCATTGGACTATCTTCACTATTATGGCATCATCCATCGTAATGTGAAGTCCAGAAATATTCTCCTAGATGTTAACTTTTGTGCTAAAGTTGCTAACCTTCATTTATCACGGAAACTTCCAGATGGAGTTCCTGTCAATGGCACCCATGTTACTAGTGATAGAGTAGGGTCATGTGGTTATATAGACCCAGAGTATTTGACAAAAGGCCAACTTAGTGTAAAAAATGATGTTTATAGCTTTGGGGTGGTGTTGTGTGAGCTTCTATCATCGAATCTGGCAAAATATTGGGTTTTGAATGAAGAGGATAATATTGCTTCCCTTTTACACAGAAAAATTGAAAACCAAGCTTTGCTGGAGCTGTTCGATCCAAGTCTTGGATTCCAATCAAACCTTCAGATCAAGCGAATGATGACTGCCACAGCCAAGCTTGCACTTTTTTGCATGCAATGTCCACAACAATCAAGGCCAGACATGGAGCAGGTGGTAGAGATTCTCAATGGAATAAAGCAAGGGAGATATGAAACAAACTCAAAAACAAAAGGTATAACAAAACCATCTTTTATCCCTTTCCTCTCTCATGGTTTCTAGCTTTTATGCATTTTTGGTGTCAAAAGACTGGATATATAAAAAAGGTTATATTCATGTCTAATAATCTCAGCTTTGAAAATCTTCCACCATGCTGAACTTCAAGAAGCTACTGACAATTTTAACACTTGCCTTGGAAAGGGAGGGTATGGCAGCGTGTACTATGGTAAGAGGGTAATTAGTAAACATATTTTCAATTAATGTTTCCTGTAAGAAATATGCATGTGTCTATGTTTGTTTGATGCCATGCTATTGTATTAGGAAAACTACAAGATGGGCGAGAGGTTGCAATAAAATGTTTCCATGATGAGAACGACACAGAAGAGACCATTAAGCAATTCTTGAAAGAAACTGAAATCTTAAGTCTCCTGCACCATCAAAATCTAGTTTCACTTTATGGCCGCACTTCTCACCATAGCAAATCTGGTTTCACTTTATGGCCGCACTTCTCGCCATAGCAACAAACACATGCTAGTGTACGAGTATATCTCTAATGGCACTCTTTCCAAACATCTTCACGAATCTTCCAGTGGTAAACTACCATGGCAGGCTAGATTGAATATTGCCATTGAAACTGCAACTGCTTTGGTATATCTTCATGACTCAGGTATCATCCACCGTGATGTAAAAGGAAGTAATATTCTGTTGGATGAAAATTTTACTGTTAAAGTTGCAGATTTTGGACTATCACGGTCTCTGCCAGATCATGTTACTCATGTTTCAACTATTCCAGTAGGAACTCGAGCTTACATGGATCCTGACTATTATGAATCTGGAAGGGTCAGTGACAAAAGTGATGTCTTTAGCTTTGGGGTGGTCTTGTTTGAACTCATATCATCCAATCCTCCAGGTTCAATGGTAGGCACCGATTATGTTACTCTTGCACAGTTTGCAAAGAGAAAAATCTTAAACCAGGAATTAAATGCGGTAGTGGATCCAAGCTTTTGGCTTGCTTCTGACAAAAACATGATGGAAATGGTAACAGCTGTGGCAGAGTTAGCATTTCAGTGTGTGCAGTGTCCCAAGGAGTTCAGACCATCAATGAAACAGGTGCTAGAGACACTAGAGGGCATAAGTAAAGGAACATGGGGATTCAGCCAGATAACATAGTCTTTATTCAGGCTACCAACATGCCCAATTCTGCCAAAATATTCTTTTGGTTTGTGGACTAGTAATTGGATTTTGGTTGAACTGAGATGGTATTTTGCTGCAGTATAGTAATTTCAGGTTGACCCTGCATCATTGTTAAAATGGTGTGAAGGTGGAGTAGGTTTGGAAGGAGGTTCTGATCTAGCCACGAGACTACTTGCTGTATCTTACCTGACGATTTAGGTTGTATTTTACTAGATCGTTCAACGTGGTTTAATAGCATTATAAACCTGATATTGCATGTTAAGTGTAAATGCATTGAATATGTTCTAAATGTAGAAGAAAAGACCAAATATTGGTAACCATCTCTGAATTTCATTACATTAATTGAAACATTATTCTTCTCTTCCTCCTCTTTATTAGTAAAATCGTGTCTTATAGCAATAATAAGGGAAGTTAACAATATAGATAAAATAAAAGGAGTAACCAGTTGACAGCTTTTATACATGTTTTCTTTTTAATCAAATTTTCTTATCCACCTCTTTCTTTGTGTTGTGTCATAGTGATTATCTATTAAATTGTAACTTAACAAACTTGCTTCTGGACTTCGCTTTATATGATTGTTTCACCATTGATCATATATGTCAGACAATAGGCATCATATTGTTTTCTTCTAACCGTTTTCTCTTTTTTTTTTTTTCTTTTTATGTTTAGTTCATAAATCTTTATCTAACTGCAGTTACACCATTTATATATTCCCATATAAATTGCACTTCAAATAATTTTTATCTCATTTAGTAACCATACTAGGATGGTTTACCAAAATTATCCACCGTGAAGTCAAAACCAACAGCGTTGTACTTTACAAAAATCCTGAGTATTATTGCCATCTCTTTGACATCACTGATATGTATATAGCATAGGAGTAATGATTGAACTGGTATCTTTTTTGCCTGCAATTAGTGAAGATGGTGAACAGCCCTATGTTTCAGACTTTGCCATGGATGAAATCCTTTGTGAACAACTCCAAACATGCTCTTATCTGAGGTCCATATACTTGTTACAATGCTATCAAAGTTCACATTTTGCCATGACTTTTTTCTTTAAAGAAATAGCATCACATTGAAATACTCTTTGCTCATATCTATCTGATAACATGGATATACTATAAAGAGAAATGTTAGTATTCTTTATTATTGACTTAAATTCCATTAGTAATTACAATTTTTTGTGATTCTCATTTCTTATTTAGTAACTTCAGACATGATTTTATAGTTTTTAATAAATTTTAAATTGTTAACATATTATATAGTGTTAGAGACAGTTGTCAGCACTCAACTACAAAATACGAACTATTATATTTGCTTTCAAGTCCCGAGTGTTTCTATAAAATTTAAAATAGCCAAAAAAGTTTTGGTGATACTAGAATTTTGCTTTCACCTGTAAAATGGGTTTGCCATTTGTAGATCAATTAACGTTAGGTTGATCAGCACCATGATATTGCCAGTCTTTGGACGTTGATTTGCCTAAAAAGCAAGGGTTTCAGTAAATCTGCTTCTACATGTTTAACAAGCAACTATTCTGTTCCACGAAATTAATTTCTGACTTAGTAAGTTGGGAGATACCTGTGGAAGGATTAAAAAAAAATTAAAAAAATCAACTATTCTTTCACACAAAGATGTTGAATTAAACGCGCACTAAAATTAAGAGAAAACATTTATGGCAGATGATAAACACACATCCACTCTTGTATAAACACACCCCTTTTTTTAAAAAATATGTAAAAAATATCTAAATTACCCTTAAAAAAAATAAAATTCCTAAATTTACATCTTCTTCCCCGCATCCCCCTTCCCCTCACCCCACACCCCCCTTCCCCTTCCCCCTTCCCCGCAATATATAATAAATAATAGCTTCTCTCTCGCCTTCACCACTGTCCAACCTGGTTGTTAAAGGTGAGGTTCAATTCGCTGAAAAGTTGCTCAAGCAATCAATTCTATATTAAAAGAAAAACTTGGCATAACATATTGCTTGCGTGATCAAGATAGTGCTTATTTTCTAACTTCTAAATAAAGGATTGATGGGGAAGTCCTTCTAGTGCTAAGTTTAAGCTAGGTTTAGATTTCAATACATTAAACGAAAGTATTGGGGAAAAAATTAAATTGAATAATATACGATTTAAATAATGAGTTTTGATGTAATTTGTTCGAAACACAAGACTTGATCAATTAAATTATTTAAATCGGTAACAAAGATGAGTATAAACGAGAATTTGACAATTAATTTGTTGAAAGGGGGAAGCCAATTCCATGTCTCTAGGTAGGAAATGTAACAAAGAACATGCCGCCGAAAACGCCAATACCCACTGGTAATGTTGTTAGGATTTCCTGTGTCTCATTTGACGGTGCTGGAAAGAATCTGTTCATGGCTTCTCTCTCGTCCTCACCACTGTCCAACCTGGAACTCATTGGAGCGGTGGCGCCGAGGTTGAGATACACCAACCTTGAATCCAAGTTGAGGTTACCAATGTTGTTGTTGTTGTTGCCGCTGCTGCTACTGCTGTTGTGGTCCTCGTTCATAGGTGAAGGGTAGATGGGTGCCACGGAAGAAGGAGCATTGTTGTTGTTGTTGGCATTGCCTTCTTCTCGCGACATCACAAGAGCCGCGGATTGAACAAGCTCCAAGCACAGCCTCAACTTGTTGGGCTTGATGTGGGACAAACCCGGGACAGTCCCCTTGAAGAGGAAATCCGAGGTTAGGGTTCTGAGGATGTCCAAAGGTGTGACCCCATCCACGGTTCTCACATTAGGGTCCGCGTGGTGGTCCAGAAGCACGGCCACCATGTCCGGCGACACCATCTCCGCCGCAATGTGGAGCGGCGTCTTCCCGGCGGGGCCCGGAGGGGTGCGGGGAAGGGGAAAGGGGGTGCGGGTACGGTGAAGGGGTGTAAATTTAGGAATTTCATTTTTTTTTAAGGGTAATTTAGATATTTTATATTTTTTTTTTTTAAAAGGAGGTGTATTTATACGAGAGTAGAGGTGTGTTTATCATCTGCCAACATTTATTTTTAATCATCATGGGAACGTGACTACGTGAGGAACTTTCAGCTTGTTTGTTGTTTTGGGCCTAGAGGATGGGCTGTAACTACGACTAGTCTGTAACAAAAAACTGTTGGGCCTGGTTGGCATTTGATATACACAACTTAAAATTAAAGAAAACAGCTACGTAAAACTATTTTATATTGCAAGTGTGTTAGTCTTTTTTTTTTTTTTCTCTAAAACTATTGGATGTCTATATAGATAATACGGGGGCATAGATATAATATAATTGATATAAACTAATACTTTAAATAGTTAAAAAATTGATTATTATATACTACTCTTATATGATTCCTAAATATATATAATATATTTCTAACAAAAACCTCATTCTTAAAGATATAAGAGACATCACATGTAATACTATTTTGGGTTTATTCTTTTATATACATTTTAAAAGTGATATTATATATTAGGATCGGTCTAAAGAAGGATTTGAAAAATTGCACACGAGATCTTAAATTTTATTTACGTTGTCGTGATTGTAAAAAAAAATCAAAATTAATGATACTATTTGAAAATCAAGTTATGTTGTTTGAACTAAAAGGCCGAAGCTAATGATTATCAACTTTTTTTCTAGACTCACTTACTGCTTTATCCAAGCTTCTTGATATCTATAGTATGTTTTGAGTTATGTAATTTTTTTTTTATCTTAATTGAATTTTTGGTCATCAAGTATAGTTGTGCATTTTGGTGTTAAAGCAATTTAATTTTTAAGTATAATAATTATATGATTTTGGTTTTCTAAATTTTAATTGATTAATTTTAATTTTTCAAATATCATAATATACAATTTTTTAACTATTTAAATTATGTATATTATAATTTTTATTCATATACTATATGATATATATATATATATATATATATATATATATTATATTATATTAAAATTAGTAAGAATATAACTTAAATAGGTAAATAAAATATATAATTATGATACTTGAATAACTAAAATACACAATTCTAATACCAAAAGACTAAAATTACTTAATTAAAAATTAAAATTGTATCAATATAATACTTGAGAAACTAAAATTTGAAAGACTAAAATCGTTCCACGATTTGATAAATCTGTCGAAATATTATATATTAATTAATATATTATTAATCCTTATCTTGCACTTCATGTTATATACTATGTTATGCACTAAATCAAATAAATATTAAATATTGGATTGGATACTCTATATTTTTTCTGTGTTCGTATTAATTTGAATTATCTTATAAATAACTAACAATTAATAACTAAGATCCCAGCGGTTTATGAAATTCCGATGCATACGTAATTTTGGATGATGCTTAAGGAGAAAAAAAATATTTAAACAATTATTTTTTATTGTGTTATATTTTTTACACCATTTTATAGTGCTATTTAATACAAAGTGGTGAAAAAAACACTGCGAAACCCATGACCAATCAAGGTGGGTACAAGAAGTTGAACATAGTAGGATTAAATAAAAGTCGTGGTAAACATTGACCAATTAGGTTGATTCGTGTGAAATCCATCCTACCATTTTCCTATTTGGCATTTACTTTTCAAAGTTTACCCAAATTTAGTCTAAATAAATTTAGTTTTAGTTTTCATTATTTAAGTTTATTATACGTTTTATATTTATTAATTAAGAGTGAGAAAGTAAATTTATTAAAAAATATTCATTTTCAAGATATTTGAAAAATTATCTTTCACGATGAAATTCCCGTAAACATTTTATGAATTTATATCAATAGCATAGATAAAAATAATAATAATCAACACTTAATTCAGCTTAAAGTTCCTATTATCACTTCTCAATTTGTAGGGGTTAAATTTTGGTTTTTTCTCAAAGAACACACCATGAGGCTAGCTATTGTTACACTCAATTTTTTTTTTAATTCTAAAAAAAAAAAATCAACACTTATTTTAACAATGAATTTCAAACATTAAATCAATTTCAAATGATTATTAAAAGGGATGACAGAAAATAACATTATAATATCTATTTTGATATTTGCATTTAAGGGGGAGCAATATTCATCCCCAACTCCCCATTATCACTATTTGGGTATGTTAATAAAAAGCTTAAACTAGCTTTGGCATATACTGTCTTCTTGTTCTTTCACTAAGTTGCACATCTGTTGAATTATCCTAAGCATACTATTGTCTTGTTTTTAGGGGGAGAGAGAGAAAAAAGATTGTGATTGTACACTGTTTACGCTTAACGTAAGCCATCAAGTATTAAATGCAATACCTATCCATTTTTTGTCATTTTTTAAAGTACTGAACTCGGTGATTAAGGAAATTGTAGCCATCCAACGTAATTTCTT